GCTCATCGTTATTAAAATCCGAATGGATGAATTAATCAAGTAATGTTCCCTTTCAACACAACTAAACAACAAACAAATGCTTGCTCACCAGTGGTGACGCAATCGTAGGGGCATGCAGTTGGTTCAGATAACTCTCACCCCGACGATGGCGCCGAGAAATTATTAAATTATGCATTTGCGCCATACTGGACACATTTTATATTTAATATTTTGTGGTTTGTAGAAATTAGTGTTATCTACAGTATAGCTTAACTGGCGAGCAAGCATCGTCCCACTCGGCCGGGACGAAAATACCGAGTCCAATCACAGAAAGTTAACCAAAAGATAAAAATAAGAGCTCGGATATCAACAAAAATCACACACTCCAGACGACGGGGGAAGAGAGGAAAGGAAGTAAGCTGCTGGGCTCAACAAATTTTGATAATTGTAAACAAATTTGTTCTTGTGCCCTATAGTACAGACAGATCCGTCTGAAAAAATCGATCTGCCGACACACAAAGCTTACAAAGAATTTTTGACGTTTTTGAGTCCTAATAGATGTCCTTTATGGCTGACCAACTTTTCCAAACTTTTCCACGTGTCTTAAGGCCACTTTTTGCCACTTTACCACTTTTTACCACCTTTCTTGTTTGTCGAATATCTTTAGTTGTGAACATCGTAAAAGGTTGCGGATCAATCGAGTGTGTTCATATCACCATGAAGAAAAACTTTTGTTCTAACAATTTTTACGTCAGATAATCAGTTAATTGGATAATTATCAATTAGCTAATTAGCAAAATTCTAGAAATTTTTTATTGGCTCAAAATGATCGAAATAGCTTAAAACACGGAGAAAAGTAGTTTTTAGAAAAACTTTGAAAATTTATCACTTACATTTTTTTTCGAGACTTAGAAAAATTTCGAAAATTTAAAATATTTTTTTTCCGCCAAAAGTGATCAAATCGCATGAAACGCGGAGAAAAATGCTTTTCAAAAAAACTTAGTGAATTTTTCGTTTCAAGAATACTTAAATCACCAATATTTGTAGTTGGAGTTCAGTAAATCGCGGCAGATTTTAGTAATCAGGAATTACTAAGTGGAAAGGTCTGAAACTGAAAAACGTTAACCATACGATATAAGAGTTTCATAACTAATTACAATACAGCCTTATCAATTTTCACAGAAACTGCACCAATGGCACAGTCAAGATCGAAAGACGAAACGATAGCCTGCTGTACTATCATTTTATTGATTTCAATGATGAATCAGTGGGGTTAAGATAATCATATTTGTAATAAATAAAACCTCTCTGTACCGTCAATTGTGCTAATCTAAACCGGCCTACCTGCTTACCTGGATTACCAGACCTCTTCTTCTCCTCAACAATCAAGCCAAGTTGTTCATATAGCATTTGGTGGGCGATGTAAGTACATTATATCGAGCTGTATTCAATCACAATACGACACAATGCAATACGTGTATATTATATTATGGCCCTTAATGAGGTATATGAAACGTTCTATACCGTACACTTCTCGTTTCTCCCGTGAGAGGCCCGGTATGGAGAGGTTTTACAGTTTATCACGAAAACGTCTACTTGGCCTCATGACTCTTTGACAGCTCAAAGAAGGCAAGAAAAGACCAGAAAGCTTAAAATGTCAACTCGCTCTTTTCAATGCTCTTCGATCTGTCCCACATTAATCCCGAGCTGATCATCATGGGCCCCGAATATCCTGCGGGAAGAACCTGTATTTTTACTTCACAACGTCCAGATTTCAAATCAACATCCTCAATAACATTAATAATCCTTCCTGATCAGGATCTGTCTCTATTAGCAACTTCCAAAATATCCTGACTATCGTGGAACATTTTACTGAATGAATTATTACCGGTTCTTTACTACCCCTTGCCCGACGCTCGTATCTAAATCTTATCCTTGCCCGTATGTTACCCTTGTTGATTTTAATTTTAGCCGACCCTGACATATGGGGGTGATTTTATACCGCATAGCAAATGAAGCGGTATGCAGTACAATACAAAACAAGTCACAGTAGATGTTGGAAGGTGTATTTACACTTGCTTCCTGGATCTGGCTGTTCCTTAGTTTCCCTGGTCTGTTCTTGCCTTCTTCGAACTGTAAATGAGCCATGAGGCCAAGTATACGTTTTCGTGATAAACTGTAAAACGTCTATACAGCTCGATAAGTACACCAAATGCTATATGAACAACTTGGCTTGATTGTTGAGGAAAAGAAGAGGTCTGGTAATCCAGGTAGGCCGGTTTAGATTAGCACAATTGACGGTACAGAGAGGTTTTATTTATTACAAATGTGATTATCTTAACCCCACTGATTCATCATTGAAATCAATAAAATGATAGTACAGCAAGCTATCGTTTCGTCTTTCGATCTTGACTGTGCCATTGGTGCAGTTTCTGTGAAAATTGATAAGGCTGTATTGTAATTAGTTATGAAACTCTTATATCGTATGGTTAACGTTTTTCAGTTTCAGACCTTTCCACTTAGTAATTCCTGATTACTAAAATCTGCCGCGATTTACTGAACTCCAACTACAAATATTGGTGATTTAGTATTCTTGAAACGAAAAATTCACTAAGTTTTTTTGAAAAGCATTTTTCTCCGCGTTTCATGCGATTTGATCACTTTTGGCGGAAAAAAATATTTTAAATTTTCGAAATTTTTCCAAGTCTCGAAAAAAAATGTAAGCGAAAAATTTTCAAAGTTTTTCTAAAAACTACTTTTCTCCGTGTTTTAAGCTATTTCGATCATTTTGAGCCAATAAAAAATTTCTAGAATTTTGCTAATTAGCTAATTGATAATTATCCAATTAACTGATTATCTGACGTAAAAATTGTTAGAACAAAAGTTTTTCTTCATGGTGATATGAACACACTCGATTGATCCGCAACCTTTTACGATGTTCACAACTAAAGATATTCGACAAACAAGAAAGGTGGTAAAAAGTGGTAAAGTGGCAAAAAGTGGCCTTAAGACACGTGGAAAAGTTTGGAAAAGTTGGTCAGCCATAAAGGACATCTATTAGGACTCAAAAACGTCAAAAATTCTTTGTAAGCTTTGTGTGTCGGCAGATCGATTTTTTCAGACGGATCTGTCTGTACTACTATAATAATTTGGTATTGAGGTATGACCCTGTACTGTGCGTGATAGTGAAAATGAAAATGAAAGTGAATGTGAATCTATAATGCGAACGAAATGAGTTATGGCCAAACGATTCTTCAATTTCAAAATAATAAAGTCAAAGGACTCTGTTTTAAAATACAAGCTCATTCTTATCGAAGTTTAATTCTGTCCATTCTAATTCTTCGTACCTGGACTGTATCTTGAGTAGCTCACTTTTTAGTGTTACTTTAACTAAGTTCGTTGACTTAGTAAAGCTTATCAAACTGTCAATTTTTCGACAGTCGTTCCACATTTTTGTTGATTGATAAATAAAAGAGGATGATGGGTTCGGGGTGATGAACTGGTCTGAACGTCTTTGTGATGGTGATCTGTGGAGTAAAGATAGGAGTGAGATTGGAGATTCTAATCTGACAATTTTGAACAGTTCTAATAGACATGTGTATTTGTAGAGGTTGTGGACGGTAAGAAGGCCGTTCTTGTTAAACAACGGCTTTGTATGCTCTTTTTCAAAGAATTCCCTTCCTAGGATTTGTTCATCTATACAACGTGTTCTGGCACATGTTCTAAATTTATCTAGATATGCTTCAAGGTCACCAAATAGTATTCTGATACATTTTTTCTGAGTGATGAAGATAGGTTGAAGCATATTGTTACTCGACCCACCCCATACCGATATTCCAAATCTTAGGTGTGACTCAAATAACGTGTGGTACAATTCTTTATGGTGTTTTTTTGGGATAACGTGTCGTATTCTACTGAGTCTTCCGATCTCACACCTAAGTTTCGAGTTGAGGGCTCTTATTTGAACATCCCATTTTAGCTTTTCGTCAATAATAACACCTAAAAACTTGGTCTCTTTAACTCGCTTTATTACCGTATTATTCAGAGTTAGTATATACTCTGATTCGTTATCTGCCTCATTATCAGTAGCTGTACGTGACGGATTGAAGTGAATGTAGCAGCATTTCTTTATATTTATATGTAATAGGTTGCATTTCATGTACTGGTGTAACAAACGAAGAATTTCGTTTGCTCTTTCATACAGTTTTTTTCTACATTCATCTACTACGAATATGTTTGTGTCATCTGCAAATAGTATGAACTTGCCCAGATCAGTTGTTCTAAATAAGTCGTTAACATATATTATAAATAGCAAGGGTCCGAGACAAGAGCCTTGGGGAACTCCAAAGAGAACAGGCAGCTTGTCAGACTCTTCGCCCAGTACAGAGACATATTGATATCTGTTAGAGAGATAACTAGCGATGAGTCTATTGGCGTTTCCACGTATTCCATAGTTGTCTAGTTTATTAAGTAGTTTTTCATGTGAGATCGTGTCAAACGCTTTAGATAGATCAATAAATATTCCAAGTACATGCAGTTTTTTGCTAAGACAGGATTCTATGTAATTCACTGAGGAGTTGAGGGCATGGCTTGTGGAGTGATTTTTTCTAAATCCGTACTGGTTCTCGTAAATCATTTTCTGGGACTGAAAGAAGCTATACAGTCTGTTGTAAATAATTTTTTCAAATATCTTACCAAAAACAGCTAAGGTTGATACTGGCCTATAGTTTTCCAGCAATTCCTCATTATCCTTCTTGTAGATCGGACTGATTCTCCCAGTCTTTAAATCATCTGGGAATACTCCATTCCTCATGCATTCACTGTATAATAAAGATAGTATAGGACAGATCACTTTAGACGATTCTTTAACTACATGTATTGGGATGTCGGATGACTTCCCATTCTTCAGTTCAGATATAATCATTCTAACCTCGTCAGCTGTACAGTCATTCATGAAAATACTGGACGTGTTTGCTCTAGGCAGGTAGTCATAAAAACTAGGAAGATTGTTAATAGTACTAATCTTTGTATTCTAAATGGGGAAAAGAAGAAACATTGTCAGTCAGTCGAGAAAATTGTCAGTAAGGCTACATGGCAGCTTTGTAGATGTTGTGACTATGCTAGTAGTGGTATTGAGTATTTTATTTTATATCTTCATTTTCATCTTGTTTTGAGTTCTTTTGTTTCATAATCAATTTGTTATTTAGCTATATGTCAATGGAACTGCGATAACAAAAATATTACATAACAAGATGATAGGATTGGCAATACTTCTGCTCTGCCCAAATATTTCTGAAGGTGGGCAATCTTGACAATCATATTTAATAAAATAATTAACGTTCTTTATCGATCCTGATTTTATAACATTGTGGGCTTTATAATGAGCAGAGAAGGTAAAATTGCTCAAAACGTGAATATTTGATATTTCTACTAGTGTCAGCAGACAACAAATTTGAATGTGCAAACTGCACAACTAGAATGTGCTAAGTAATAGAATGTCCTAAGTAATAAAATTTGCTATTTACCAGAGTGAATATCAAGTGCTATATTCAGCCGATCATCGAGTGATTAGCTTTTCCCATTTATTCACGGTCTTCATAATATAATTTACCAATATTTATAACGTCACCTTTGATAATGTTTTCCTACGTCGCGTAGTAAACTTAACAATCTGGAGGGGGATTATCTAAAATATATCAGTGATACGAAAAGTTTGTTTAGCAGGAGCTTTTAAAATACATGTGTAAATCGTCTTCAACTTAACAATAATCAAAAATATCAATTTTTTACTCTTCCAGCACAGAATCTTACATGGATTCCTTTCTCTGTCTAAAATCAAGCCGTCATCTCCACCGACTTTTCCAACCAAGCCGTGGAGCGGATCTATGTGAGACTTCCTTGTGATAGATCCGTTTGGTTCAAGCTTTTCCTCCAACGTGAGCATGGTCCCAGCTCCCATGTTGAACTTCTCAGTAAGGTGGGTTAAGCAGCATACTCTTATTTTTACGTCACTGAGTTGGTTCTATTTATCAGATAGTTTTGGATTTTATTTTTAACTTTATTCATATTGATTGGATCAGTCTGCAAGACTGTTAAGATTGAAATTTTGTTAGAAAAGTAACGAAAGTGTATTTTATATCAACTTTAGGTAAAAGGAAACATTTATTGTAACGGTGCTGGAGAGACGACTGATTTCAATATGGGGAGTATCATGAAGTGTGAATCCGACAACAAAAACATCATTATTTTGTGAGTCTGGCCACATCCAAGAGTTGATATTCAATTAAATTTTGTTGATAATATAATACCTAATGAAAATGGTTAAAACATATAATATTTTATTTGAGCGTGCAAATCTAATCTAAATCACAAATAAATGATCACTCTTTAACAGAGTTGAAAAGACAGCTGACAGAATTAGAATTAGAATTAGAATTAGAATCAAATTTACACAGCAATACAATAAGAATAAAAAATAATTTAAGAAGCTTCAATCTGCTGTGCAGGACATTCAAGTCAGTCGAAAACTGTTAGCAGAACACCCTTCTAGGGACATAAGTAAGGGGGACTAGGGACATGGTTACAGAGTAACCATCAAGAACGAAGGAAGGGTTTTGTTTACTCAAGCGTTCACCTACAACGACGGAAACTGCCGTTTAGCTACCACTATTGTCAAAACACAAGTTTGGGAATACAGCGGATGGCTAAGCCTTGCTGTCAAAAATTCCGCTCGTAAGATCTCATGTTCTTTTATCTGTAAATCTGAAATTGACGCCCAGAATGAAATCGGTCACTAATTCCTTTTGAAATTGGGGGGGGGGGGGGGGGGGGTCCAACTACATTTTTTTACATGGCCTCCAGATTTTTGCCAAATGTACATGTACAAAAATGTACAAAAATGTACAAAATATGTTTTTTCCTGTTTTTCCTGGAGCCAGTGTTTGGAGCCAGTGTTTTCTGCACCGCCAGATAATATGCGAGAGGAGCCAGTGTTTTCAGCACCGCCAGATAGTATGCAAGAAGAGCCAGTGTTTTTAGACCGAACTCTGTCGAATGTTGCTCCTCCGAAATATGAAGAAACTGTTATAGCATATGGTGAAGAGAATGTACCAAGCTATGAAGACGTAATGGGTTATGGTGATGGTGATGGTGGTTATGATTGTGGTGGTGGTTATGGTGGTGGTGATGGTGGTGACTGATGAAAATAAATGAACAATCCACGTTAACCTAAATACGGCCACCCCGTATAGTAATCGGATTTTTGTGAAGATGTTGATTTTTTAAAGATTCCCAATTCTTGAGATACATTTCCGGCGAATGTTTACAAACTTCTCCTAAGCTAATGAATCGTATTCAAACATTTTTGTGTTGCTGCACTTCTCTTTTTATAAGTTTCTTCAAGGTTAATTTTTTACATTATATATTTTGATTTATAAATAAAGTTCATTAAAGTTGAAAATTTTTTTTCAACTATAAAAGTGGCCATTTTTTCAAGAGGCCACTTTTTATGAACATGGACGTGTGGAATGAGGAATACGTTACATATAATTAAATAAGCATGAGTCAAATTAATTAAATTAGAATTTAACATGAGTTAAATTAATTAAATTAGAATTAATTGAATTAGAACAATAGGCAATGTTTTCTTAGAAAAAATTCTTTATTAAGCAATTAAGATATTAAGATAACTCATTTTAACGGTCACCAAACCTCCACATGATCGTAAAGCCTATTTCTCATGCATGCCTCTTGTCATAATAATTATTTAGATTCAGATTTGTATTTTTTAAAGAAAAATGTCTGATTTGTGTGGTATCCCGTCCAAAAAATATATAGGGTACAAAATGCTGTCAGGGGAAAGTTAGCAAAAAGCTGTATATGGGCCAGCAAAATAATCTGCATCCTGTTCGATTTAACTCGCAGAAAGACAGCAATGATGAATAGATGGCAATTTAACTACACATCAAGGGCCTGCCAGCTGTTCTTGCAAATTAAGCTTGGTTTGAAAAAGAGATACACATTCTTTCAGGAGATTTGCTTTCAGGATTGAAATCTGGCAAGGTGAAGAGATAAATCCAGCGAGATTTTGTGGAACCAATTCAGGGATTAGGGATGATGTCAAAAACATTTTGAAAATAAGCTTACAGTTACCAATCTCAAAGAGGGTGCAAACTGCAAGGAATGAATAATAGCATTGAAGAATGTAAATTGAGGACTGCAAGGGGTGATTATTGTGCAGTTAGACTATAATGCAGACAATCATAGGAGAGTTGGTTCTGTTGGTGTGCTAGCTTCCAAATAGGCTGGTGCCGCTCTGAACAACCATTTTAACCTGAATTACAAATTAAAATCAATGTCGGATCCCCCCCCCCCCCCCCACCCCTCTGATATTTAAGGGAGAGAGGATTGTCTTATTTTCTTTGTTCCATTGATGTCATGGTAATCATTATATATAGATGCATTGATTATTCATCTAATTCTTTAATAGTTCAACATGGTTAGTGCTACTGCCTACTGGTGCCCCCTCTATGGTTGAGGTTGTTTCTCGATTGGTAGGGGAATATACATCTAAAACGCCGCAGAAACTCAAACTTATTGATGCTTACCTGGGGTGAGTTGCTCTCAAGATACATTTATATAAAATCTAAATGTATTGAGCTAAAGAATTAACAGAAATTGTTTCTGTGCTGGTAACCTTTATAGCTAGTTGCCCTAACTTTTAACGAAATACTGATCAAAAATAATAAAAATATTTTCAGGTACATATTGTTCACAGGAATATTCCAGTTTGCATATTGCTGCCTAGCCTTTCCCATTCAACTCCTTCCTCTCTGGATTCATCAGTGCTGTAGCTAGCTTCATTTTGGGAGGTATTTTAAGGTTGTCTGAAAGGTTGGACCGGAGGGAGTAGCTGTTGAAACCCTTCTCTGAGTAAGTTGTTACAAAAGAATACACAATTATAATTAATACAAATATAAATAAATACAAATTTAAATAAATACAAATTGAAGAATAAAATAGAGTAATACAAGTGAATACGTGAAAGTGTTACTTGGCACTCTCTTCTAACTCACTCCAATCTATGAAAGAATGAGTGAATGTTATGTATGACTCAACTAATACTCTCACTCTACTAAATAACAAACTACTATCTAAATATACCATCACTATAATATTATATTAAATGTCAATAAAGTCTTTTAAAGTGATGGTTATGATTTGGTTTTAGCAATTATTTTACTTAAATTCATGCTTGATAGGTAGACAACATCATTTTAAACACGTACGCAAAGTTACACTCCCAGATTTACTCCCTGATCCTCGTAATTCCATTTAGAGTATCACCCTGTTACGTCACGACAAGGTTCTACAGAGGCTCGAGTGCGGGTCGGTCCATTGTTTTATTAGTGTTTAGCCCCATAAAATGAGAGTTAATCACGGATATTTCCGCATTATAATGGTTGATATGCATGAGTTAACTATTGTTATTCAAAAATAGCGCTTTATAAACTTAATATTGGCTGGCACCGACGAAAATATCAAAATAAATCGCAGTAATAGTACAAAAATGAGGGTAAATTATAAGCACAGAACTGAAAAGAAAGATTAAATGGAGGATACGACTAAATCGCGATTCCAATGTTTGATAAATGACATGCATCAAGGCAAATTGTGGCCCTCTTTGGTATTCAAAGAGATATAACCAGTGTAGGGAATACCATCAGGGTTCGGGAACTTTTCTCTAATAGCTGAAACAACGCAAGCCGGCAGAATATACCTAACATTCCTAGAAAAGTCTGCGCTGGATATCATGTTAATAAACATCCGATAAGAACAGAATCTGTACTGCTTATTGGTCAACTTATTCTTTAAAAACTTTGCTGTTTTTGCAGGATCAGAAATTTGCATCGAATATAGGTACCGTCCAAAGTCCAGACCTTCTTTACTTATCACATTAACTTTGAACATGTCAACTTGTGTGATACATTGTTTGTCTCCTCTGTGCGGTGCGATAAACTGTGACTCAAGGCAACACACATTTTCTTGTTCTGTTGCCATGGTTACGCAACCCCCACACGAACACCATTCATTGACAGGTTTATTTATCCGATCCTGGTTTAGATTGGCATAAAATGTATGGTCCAATTCTTCTGGTATTTCGTCATCCTCGCTCTCATAAGCCGGTGGATCTACCCAGTCCTCATCGCTCTCATGGTCTGATCCGGGTTTAATGAATGGATTGAAGTGATCAAGTTTTTCTTGGGACTGGGAGTTAGCTGATTCTTCGTGATATGCTT